CCCATCAAATGAGGCCTTCCAACAAGTTATCATGGTGTTTCAGGTTTTCATGAGACCTCCCACAATATAAAATTATCTTGCTCACGTATTTGCTTATTGTCAGTGTTCTCAATACTATTCCTGTATAGCAAAGCACCTCACACTTAGTGGTTTAAACAACCATTTTATAACACTCACGAGTTCTGTGGGTCATGAATTTGGACAGAACACAGGGGGATGGCTTGTCTCTGTACCATGATGTATGGGGCCTCAGCTGGGAAGACTTGAAGGCTGAAGTAATTTAACAGCTAGTGTCTGGAAACATCTGAAAGCTCATCCACTCGTGTCTGATAGCTGATGCTGGTTATTGGCTGGGATATCAGCCAGAACACATATGCACAGCCTCTCCACCGGCCTGGGCTTCCTCATTGCATGGCAGTCTCAGGGTAGTTGGACTTCCTGCATTTCATCTCAAGGCTCCAAAGGCATGTGTCCCAACTAACAAGGCAGAAGCTGCATTGCCTTGTCTGACCCAGCCTTGGATATCACACAAAATCACTCCTGCTGCACTTCGTTGGTTACAAATGAGTCACAAGCCTGCCTGGATTGAATGCAAGGGGTATTAAGACACCACCTTTTAATGAGGAAGAGACAAAGTTCTAGAAAAACACGTGGTCAGTTTTGGAGGGTGCCATGTCCACATGGAGTCTTCCCCCACCGGAATATCATCTCCATGACAAATCACTTCTCGTTTGTTTATTGCTGCATCCCCTGTGCCTGCCAGAATGGTACAAAAGCACTTAGTAGGTGCCTGATCCATGTTTTAGAGTGAATAAATGAAGGTTTATCTTTCAAGCGGTCACTGAAGCCCAGCTCTTCTCCCCGTAAGTGTATTTCCTGCCCCAGCCCTTGGTTTTAGCCTGGTCTGCTCTGGAGGAAACCCAGTGTTTGCATTGGAAGATGGGAGTCAAGTATAGTTGTTATTTGTTTCTTTGGCGGGAAGGGTGAGTTACTGGAGACTGAGAAAGCCAACTGAAGTTCTGGAACAGTGTTCTACTGTAAAGAGTATTGAAAACACAATCGGATTTTTCTCATTCTAAATTCTGGAAATGCCCAGGAGAGGGCTGCAGTTTTGTCCTCTGGACCACAGGGATAAGGAAAGTGACCCAATGGAAATAGAACTTTGGAGAGGCACCTCGGGCAGCAGAGAGGGGGCTGGAATGCCTAGTAGGAGCTATTATTGCAGAGATCTGGGCAAGAGGTGACTCTGAAGCCACCCACAAGCCTGTTATGGTATGCACATTTTCCCTGCTTTGTTACTGGTGAAGGACTTTCCATTTGATCTTCCCAGAGTCCTGGAACCTGTACAGTTTCTCCTCTTTGTTTTCTCCTTTTCCATGAGAATCAGCCCTGGCTTCTCTCTGCCCCACCCCCTCACATCAATCTGCCAGCTTCCCAAATCTCTCTCTGCCTTTCCCCACCCTTCCATCTCCACTGTGCCTCTGAGACTTAGGTGTTCTATTGCAGCAACAGCCACCCCAGTGTTCTCCCCACCTCCGGTGCCACCTCCAAACTGTCGGTCCTCCAGTCCAGCCTGGCCGCAATTTCCTACCAGCTCTACCACAAAATTCACATTCCTTCAAGTCATTCAAGGCTCTTCGTGTACAGCTGCTACCTGTTGTTATAGCCTTTCTCCATCCATTCCCCCCATAATACTCTGTCCAAGCTGTGTCACACAGCCCTGGTTTTGCCCAGAGCCAGCTTACCCATTGGGCACAGCAGGCAGGGGACCTGGGGCCCACAATACTTTCAAGGGCCTGTGAAAATGTGGTAACTTCTAATAACATCAGAAGGGAAAAAAAGGAATTTTTAGGGGCGGCTGGGTGGCTGAGTCGTTAAGCGTCTGCCTTCCGCTGGGGTCATGATCCCAGAGTCCTGGGATAGAGCCCTGTGTCGGGCACCCTGCTCCGCGGCAAGCCTGCTTCTCCCTCTCCCACTCCCCCCTGCTTGTGTTCCCTCTCTCGCTGTGTCTCTCTCTGTCAGATAAATAAATCAATTTTTTTAAGAAAAGGAATTTTTGGGTAGAAGAAATTGTCTTAATACAACATTACCATATTCGTCTTTATACCACCACTGCTGTAAAATCTATTATGGAGGAAGACTCAGCTCTGAGGCAACCTCTTCAAGAAAGCAAAAGCCATCAAGAGTGTCCTTCTTTTTTTTTTTTTTTTTTAATTTATTTATTTGAGAGAGAGAGAATGAGAGAGAAAGCACATGAGATGGGGGGAGGGTCAGAGGGAGAAGCAGACTCCCTGCTGACCAGGGAGCCCGATGCGGGACTCGATCCAGGGACTCGAGGATCATGACCTGAGCCGAAGGCAGTCGCTTAACCAACTGAGCCGCCCAGGCGCCCAAGAGTGTCCTTCTTTGACCTCTCAATCTTGTGCAGTTTTGGAGCTTGGAAAACCCGACTGTAACCTTTTGGCTTAGTGCATCTCTCTCCCACCGCACTGTTAGTACCTGCAAGTCCATAATCACCTCCACCTCCGTCTTCTCCTTCTTGATACCCGCTCCCCACCTGTGGCAAAGCTGCCATGTTAGACGCACATCTAACTTCCGAAGAAAATTCGGGCCGAGGCTCAGCCTGGGAGCCCTCGGGAATCGCGCCCTGGTCCCATACCAGTAGCGATCGGGGCTGGGACCCGCGGCCCGGGGAGGGGGCGCGCGCCCGCCGGGCTGGCGGCCCCGGGGGCGGGGACTCGCGTGTCCTTGCAACTCGGCCACACGCCCCTGCCAGCTCCACCCGTCCCCGATCGGAAGGAGGAAGCTGCCCCTGCGGTTCCCTCTCTTCTTCCCCAAAAGCTCCGCACTCCTCCTTCCGTCGCACCCCCTTCCTCCCGCCTCCCCCGTTTAGGTTTCTTACGAAAAAATGCCGCTGAGAATTCCCAGAAGGTCCCGGATGTGAAGTCACTGGCGTGAGGTCACCGAGACTGGTTCCAGGAATCAGAAGCTTGCGGGGGGGGGGGGGGGGGGGAGGAAGGAAAGCGCGGAAAACGAAGGAGCGAGTGGAGCCGTGGGCGCAGTCGGCGGGGCGCCTGGCTGAGGGGTGGGGGGTGGGGGGTCGGGTTCTCAAGCTCGGCTCCAGCAGACCCCCGGGGAGGTTCCCCGAGAAAAGGGCCTCGCTTCTCCCACGGCGTAGAATTGCCGTGGTTGGTTAGACACCAACAAACCGATCTGTGTTAACCAAGATCGAAAAGTCTGATACTGCCTGATAGAGGTGGGGAAACAGGAGCGATACCCACTGTTAGGGGGGGGGGGGGGGGGGGCGGGGCGGACAGGAACTGGCTGGGCCTTCCAGGTTGGGGAACAACTCGGCAATATAATCAGAATTTCAAAGGAACCTACCCTTTAACCTAACCCCTACGCTCGTAGGGATTTGTTTTTTTTTTTTCTTTTTTCTTTTTTCTTTTTTTTTTTTGTTTTTTGTTGTTTTTTTTTTCTTTTCTTTTTTCTTTTCTTTTTTTTTTTTTTTTTACGCTCGTAGGGATATGTCCTACGGACGGGACTGCAAGGATGAATTCCTAAGGTGGCTCGGTGGCACCATTGTTTGCTGATAGACCGGACGTGACTGGCAAAGAATAAGAGTATCAGCACCTACAAGCATGAAGTTACCGTTTCCCAGGGTGGGGAAGGCTGCGAGGAGCCGGCCTTTCAGCCAGCGGGTTGAGGGATCAGTAGTCTGAGCTACTTACGTGGGTCAGGAGTCCAGGGGTGATAGAAATCTCAGAATTATTCGGAATTTGTAGCACAGATGTTTGCAGACGGAAACAGCTGGTGCACTTGGATTGAGAAATTTGAGGAGGGTTTAATGAAAGGGCCTTTCACAAAGGGTAGCAGGGTGCAGAGAAACCACCCGGACAAAGTAAGGACCCCCCACCCCCACCCCAAGCTAGTAGCAATGGGGACTTGACCATCCACAGTTCTGTTGCGGGAAAGGTGAGAGTTGCCGGTACTTGGGGACAGACAGAGAGAAGTGGAGAGGACAACATCCAAACTTGTGTGATTTCCTCCAAGGAAAGGGACTTATTTTTGAGATCCAGGTTTGGATGTTGGGCGCTGACAGGAGTGGAGAGCTTCGGTAGAGGAGTGTAACCCTGGCAACCCTACATGTAAAACGGAGATCCTGACCTCACTCACCTCCCTCTGATCTCCTGTCTGTGTTGGCCAGCGGTCAAACCCCACGGAAAGCCAGACAGGACAGTCCCCGGGCGCAGAGCTGGGAGGAGAAGGGTGGAGAGTGGGTCTGGGGAAGCCAGTGGAAGGATGAGAGAACCAGCACAGGTGAGGATGCTCTGCAAGGCGGGAGGGGGGGACGCGGGCTGGAGAAGGTGCTGCTTAGGGAGTGAATGTAGGTAGAAAAGAGGCAAAGGTCGCTGCCCCGAAGCCCTCTGATATTTAGAGATTGAGAAATAAAATAGACCCAGGAAAGGATCTTCCAAAGCTGCATTGATTGAGACCCCAGAACAAGGAGAGCCATGCTCAAGGCCTAGTGACACCAGTGCGTGGAGTAGGAGAGAGGGAGGGAGGGAGGGAGGGCGGGCCGGCGAGCAGAAGGGCTGGGATATATGCTCCCTATAGGTCAAGTAGGATGAGGGATACATACGTCAGTGTGTGGGCTGTGTGTGTGTATCATGTACGTAGACTGCTTCTAGAAAAAGACAAAAAGAAAAAGCCCTAGTAATAGAGCCACTGGTCGAGACGGAGGGTAGACAGAATGAGGCCCAACTTTTTATTTTCTTCCATTTGGGGTATTTTTTTTTAAAAAAGGTTTTTATTTTTTATTTTTATTTTATTTTTTGAAGATTTTATTTTCTTTATTTGACTGAGAGAGCACAAGCAGGGAGGAGCCGGATGTGGATGCAGGGGCTTGATCCCAGGACCCTGGGATCATGACCTGAGCCAAAGGCAGACACTTAACTGACTGAGCCACTCAGGCACCCCCCATTTTGGATATTTTTAACAAAGTACATGTGTGAATTTTATCAAATGGAAGAAAAAATTGTTTGTTTTTTTAAAGAATCTCCCATGGCAGGAGAGATACAATGTTATAGAAAGAGCAGATCCATAGTTTTTCCTAATGAACTGGAAGACAGTCTTGGGGTAGCACTGGGACTTGAAGAGAACCCACTGGAGCCTGGGAGGGGCGGGGCTGAGGAGAGTGTCGCTGGAAGGATCTCCTCCCTGTGTCAGTCCAGCCACCGCCTTTAGGAGCAGTGAAGTGACCTTGGAAATCTGGTTTAAACCATGTTCTGTTTGCACTGTGATCCCCTCAGTGACTTGCCCTACCCCCACTCTGCACAATCCAGGACTTCAGGAAAACTTAATTCTTCACATTTCAGTGACTTTTTAATAATTGTACATGTCATGCTTTAAGTATTTTCAATCTTGTATATTAAAAAAAATAAATCCCCTTCCTTGGAAGAAATCACACCAGTTGGATGTAGTCATCTTGGAAGAGAGTGATTCCTCATAATTCTCTCTCCGCTGAAGCTGTGCTTGGACAAGGTATTTCTTCCCTGCCGAGCACAGAATCCTTTGGATTAGAAGTATTTTTTTTTCTTCCAGTTAAGAATCAGCTCCAAGTGGATATTACTTCAGGATTGTGCACTGATTCTTATCCCCATCGCAGATCCTGGGGCCAGGGACCCAGCCTGAGGAGCCTCAAGGCCAACTTCAGGAAACTTCTCCTAACACCTGGAGGGATGGCTCTGGGAGGGAGGCTGGTGGAGGTAGCATTGGGAAGCCCATGTACCCTCCTTTTCCTGGAGCTGCCTCCTTGGGCTGGGAGGGGTGTACTCCCAGTCTAATAGACTTGAGACTTTTTGGATTCGAGGTTTCCCCAAAGGGAAGGAGCAGAAGTAGGAAGGGAGACACCAGCCCATCTCCCCTCCTGGGCACTGGCTGGGACATGCTAAGTCTGGGCTCCACTTCCCTCTCCATCTCCCACTCCTAGAATAACTGAAATTTCTCAATATGCCCTATGCCTTTGAGTCTCTTGGTCTCTGTCCTGCTGAAAAGAAAATTCCAGAGACCTTGTCTGTGTTACATGACACTAATGATCAGTGACTACAATAGTGTCTGGCACAGTTTGGTAAACAGCATGCATGAATGCCCCAAAGGACTTTTCCACAGCTCTACCTACATTTCAAGAAGACTCCCCTGACCAGTGGTCACTACAGTCCCTGGCATCTCAGGACACGGTTCCCGGTGTTGGCGGCCTCCACCCAGTGGTGCACCAGAGCTGGCCCAAACCTCCTGGAGAGCTGCCTGGAGTGTGCCCATCTCTTCCCAACTTCTCTCGAGGTGCCGGTAGCTTGAAATCAGCCACGGTGGGAGAATTTACACCGTGGAAATTGGCAAACACTGTAGATCTTGATTCCCTGCCCCCCCCCACTCCCACCCCTCACTGGTTGGTAAACATTTACCAGCACACTACTGCCTCAGGGGTTGGTTCTGCCACTTACAAGCTCTAGGATTCCCGCAAGTCACATGATCACTCCGAGCTTCACTCCTCCACAATATGGAGATTCCCACAGTATCTACCCAATAGGACGGTCTGGAGAATTCAATGTGAATATAACTCTGTAATGTGTTTAGCACAATGTTTGGCTTCTAGTAAATGTACAATACAGCTTAGTACAGACCCAGTTATCTATTGCTGCATAACAAACCACCCTCAAGATTTGGTGGCTTAATACGCATTTATTTTGCTCATGAATCTGTAAGATGGTGGGGACTTAGTAAAGATGGCCCATAACTGGAGAGGCACAAAGGCTGGGATCATCTGAAGCCGTGTCCACTTCTATATGTAGTGTTTAAAGCTGGCTATCAGGGGCCTTAGCTGGGGCCGATCAGAACACCCACGTATAGCAATCCAGGCTTCCTCGGAGTCCTGTGACTGAGTTTTCAAGGGTAAGTGTCCCAGGAAACAGCCAGGCAGTAGCTATATCACTTTTTCTAACTTAGCTTGGAAATCACACAGTATCACTTCCTCCACCTTGTATTCACGAGAAGCAAGTCACCAAGGCTGGCCCATACTTAAGGGGAGAGGAATTAGATTCCCCCTTTGGATAAGAAGAGTGTGAAAGAATTTATGGACATGTTTTTAAACCATCACAACTGTTATTATTGTGTTCTTAGGATACTCTAGCTTCTCATAAGTGAATTATCCCACTTCTTAGCCTATGAGTTCTCTGTGGGAGGGCAGGGATCCATTGGATTCATTAAGATCCCTCTCCCTCACTGCTCCCCAAGTGAACCTAGGTCCCTGTTTGCTACAGAGTTCAGTAAATGTTATAGAAGTGAATTTCTTCTTGCAGGGGCTGGCCCTGGACATTTGTGCTGCACTGCATGACACCCCTGTTGGTCCCATAGAAACCAAGGTGAAGGACCTGAAAAGGGCACAGCCAGGAGGGCAGGTGGTCTTTCCAGCTGAACCATGACCCCAACAGCCTCTGTTCATCCTGGGGTTGTGGGTGACCATGAGGGTAAGTTTGTGGCTTAAACAGACTCCCTCGCAGGCCTGCTGTGAAGATGGAATGGCAAATCACTGTCTGAGAGTCAGATCATGGGCTCATGATATAATTTCTGTCTTGGTCTTAGATGTTCCAGTCTGTCAAATGGAAATAAGAAAAGGTCTGTGGGTTGGGCACTTGGAATAGATGATCATATTTAGAAAGCTGGGCTAGAAGCCAATTTCTTCTTCTGGAAATGGTTGACAGGGTCGCAACGGGGGAAAAAAGCAGAGAAAAATCTCTCCCCTTCTGCTATGGACATGAATCCATCTCACAGTATCTTTGAGATCCACAGAGCTGGGATCCCAGAGAGAAGCATGTGTGTATATGTATGGGAGATTTGGGGAGGGCTTCTTCGGGAAAGACCCAGAAAAACCTCCATTTCAATGGTGGGGGCAGGAAGCAGGAACTGGACCACAAGCTGGAAGGGGCTCAGGGGAATGTGGAGGTGCAGAGCGGTCAGGCCCAGCCCCTCAGCCACCCCATCCCTTATTCCTCAAGGTCCCTGTGTGCCATATCAGGAGTTCGGGTCAGACCCTCCAATGCAGCCCCTAAAGGCATCCAGCCCTCCTCCTGCACTGGTTCCATCACAGGGGACCGGGCCTGCCTGTGACTATAGAATGACCCCCGGCTCTGGGCCTCAGGCCTTTGTAAAATCAGCGGAGTCGTCTAGAGAAGACCTTCCTAAAGTGGGGCTCATGAATCTCATGGCCAGCACGGAATTTGAGAGAAAAAAACGACCTTGGGCTCATTTTCCCCAGAAGCGGACCCTGAGACAAAGATGTGAGTAGAAGTGTTTCACTTGGGAAGTGATCCCATGAAGGACCAATGGAGAGAAGGGGAGGTAGGGAGGGGAAGGAAAGCGAAACCACCACACGGTGTGTTGATAGGTGTTTGCTGCTGTGGGCAACTGAGGCTCAGTCCCGCTGGGGCCTCTGGGACGCTGTGTGCAACATGCCTCGGAGAGCCCCACCCTAGTCCACTCAGGTAAAGGGCTGCATCTGGGGCATTAGCTCCCTGGCACTCCTAGCCTACCCTGCATGCCAGTTGAGCACCATCCTGTGACCAGAGAAATACCCCAGGTTGAGCGTCGCATGTGTTTGCGGTGAGATGCCGTAAGCACGTGTGGGAATTGGGAGTGCCACCGGACACGAGGAGGGTGTGGTAGGGTCTGCCACACAGGCAAGCAATTTTGTTTATGTACATTTCATCAGTGTGGGATAAGTGGTGCGCCTGGGTAGCTCAGTCGGTTAAGTGGTTGCCTCTTGATTTCGGCTCAGGTCATGATCTCAGCTTCCCGAGATTGGGCCCTGCATCATGCTCCACACTCAGCAGGGAGTCTACTCGAGATTGTCTCCCTCTCCTTCTGCCCCTCCCCACTTCATTCAAATAAATAAATAAATCTTGTTTAAAAATGTGAGGTAAGTGATGATTTCCATACAAATCCATTACCTTGCAATGATCATCACGGTTTGGTAGGTGCCCCTGTGCCACCAGAACTTATTTGGCCAGTTCGATTCAGCTCATATTTAGTAAAGAGAGTGCCATTAACTGTAGTTCAACTTGCTAAGATATTTTTTTTTTTAAGATTTTATTTATTTGACAGAGAGAGAGAGAGACAGCGAGAGAAGGGACACAAGCAGGGGGAGTGGGAGAGGGAGAAGCAGGCTTCCCGCAGAGCAGGGAGCCTGCTGCGGGGCTCTATCCCAGGACCCTGGGATCATGACCTGAGCCGAAGGCAGATGCTTAACCATCTGAGCCACCCAGGCGCCCCTGCTAAGATATTTTCAACCACATTCATGTTATTGTTTACATTCGTCATATTTCCATTTTGTTGTTAACTACGCTATGGTAGTGGGGCCCCAAATCATAAAGATGAAACAGTAGTTCAAAAGAGGTTTGTTAAAGCAAAAAAGGAGTATTGGAAATAGTAACAAAACTGTGCAATATCAAATGCGATCATATATACCAGGGTAGATGAGTGTGTAGAAGGAGATGATTTTACATAAGTGGAAAAAAAAGTGTGAATCAGAAAGACAGATGTGGGACTGAATATCTGAAAGTAGGATTTTGGCAGCTAGTAATGCATTTCCTCTAGTCCCTGAGGCATTGTCTATTATGAAACTTTGTCAAATAGTGGCACGAGGCCCACTGAGACATTTGCATCATCTTCACATCAGGCCCTGCAAGCTAGGTAGAAAACCAATCAAATCCTTCCAGAATATGGGTGAAATAATCATGTCTGTGTGATAATGATGCATTTTGCCACTAAAGACAGAGAAAAGATCAAAACCAGAGAAGCACCATTAAAGTTGTCTAACTTAAAGCGAAAACCAACACACAATTCAAAACCATGGCTTATAAATTAAATCGTAGGCTACTGGAGAAAAGCAGAGCAAGCTTTGGGCAAAATTACTTGATCAAACAACACTTTTGGATGTCACATAAAATCAATAGCACATAGTGTGGAAGAGCAATTTCTGTCCTGAGTGAGTGCTAGCAGACAATTGGCTTTATTGTTGAATAAAACCACTTGTGGTAAGCCTTGTTCATTGTTGATCCAGAATTTATTCCATCCCTTCTTTCCTGATAACAGATTCCTGATTTTGATCCATGCACCCACATCTCCAATCTCAGGCAGTTAATTACAAGTAGTCTAGATCAATCATGACCAGCCCATTTCCCACTTTCCCAGTCTCCCTGGCTGCTATAAGAGACCACAAAACCAGTTTTGGCCAATGAAATATGATTTGAAGTCTGCTGAGGGTACATCTATGAAAGTTTTTGTTTTTGTTTTGAATCAAATGGGCATACATGCTGGTACCCCTTCTCCCTCTCTTCCTAACTTAACCGTGGTCATGATGCCTGGAGCTGGGCCGTCATCTTGCAAATATGAAGCAACCAGCACAAGGTAAAGGCTGAGAAAATTCTAGAGACATCAGCACTGACATTACTGAATGTCGGTGGCTGCCTACATCCAGCCTTCCTGTTACAGTACAGAAGTAAACCCCTCTATGTTTAAAGCCACTGTAACTTGGATTCTCTAGTACTGGTAGTTGAAAGCATTCCTAATGGGTGTACCCCTGATGTATCAGCTCTCCACATATTTTCAGAAAAACATGAGGGAAACCTAAGCGATGACTCTTTGTTCTATTTATCACTAAATTCCCTTGTAAGATGAAGTGAATGAGCTTCTGGCTTCCAGCTGGGGTCAGCTATGGGGACCCAGCAGGAAAAGGAGAGGGAAAGGAGTGAAAATGGGCATTTAGCCCCTTGGTTCCCTGCCTGTGAGTCTTCCTGTGTTGGACACGGTTCTTCAGCAGGGACGGGGGCGGACACTGGGCCTCCCAAGGTAGCCAGCCTCCTCTGCTCAGTTCTCTCCTTTCTGGTGACCATTCCCTTTCCCTTCAGGCCTGTTGATGATAACAGCTCTGCTGTGCCGTCCAGCTATTGCAACATCCCCCCGAGGTGCTCCTACACCTACATGTTTGTAAATAGTCCTTGTAAACAAGCTTCCCTAAAATCATCCTCTTCTGAATGCGCCTTTATCTGTTGGTATGCTGACTGATCTACCAGCATCAGTTCACAGATTTAAAAGAAAACACACACACACACACACACACACACACACACACACACACACACACCTTGCATCAGAACACCAACCACACACCACTGTATTCACAAAGACCAGCTGTCAGGCAACAATCTGCCTCTTGATCTCGGTTATGGGTGAAAACAAGTAGCAAGAAGAGTCAATGCACTCAATTCATGGCCTCTCTGACTATGTCTCTTCAATATTGTGCAGAGAAATGGACAGCAAGTACAAGACACTGTTGAACAAAGTATGCTGGCTGGTGGGGAAAGAAAATCACATGAGGCTCTGAAATAAGACACGACATACAGCATACCTTTGTGGCACCGGCCTCTCTCGGCTGCCCATGACTAGCTCAGGCAGCAGCTCAGCCGCATGGTCAATGCCTTGATTACCCTGAACCTTTGGCTTCAGGGCGAGACTACAGCCATTTTTCATGTTGAGGCTAAGATATCAAGAATTTGAAGACAGAACTGTGGTGTCAAGGCTCAGCCTTTGAGAAGATGACTCTTTCCCTTACATTTGAAGATTTTCTTCTCTTGGCAGAGAAATAAATCAATATACAGGCAACCACTAGAAAAATTAGAAACAGACTGTAAACTTTCAAATCATCAGACAAAAATACAAACACATGTGCACACACACATGCATATCAAAGAAGACAAAAAAATACACATGGTAAAACAGAAAACAGAGGAAGTATTAAAATGGAAAACATAACAGAGATAAGATGACAGAATTAAGACTAATATATCAGTTATATCAACAAACGTAAATAGATAAACCCATCCTTATAATAGAAAAAAGACTCACGTTGAATTGTAAAACGATCTCCTATTGTATGTTGTATAGAAGAGATGTATCTTTACCAAAATAACTTAGGAAAATTAAAAATTTAATATAAACCAAGTTATACAAGAAAATACTGGGCTGAGGCTTCAGTTACCATCAGCCAGGGTTAAATTAAAAATGAAAATGTTAAATGAGATGCAAGGAAGCTGAACAGTAGAGACAGCAGTACCCACATTAAGAATCTAGTTTTTAGAAATCTCTAAGCACCTCTATAATAAATCTCTATAGCTTCAAAGTCAAGAATAAGATATGATAGTTCAGAATAACAATATACAGATAAGGCAGGTAGAAATTGGATCAAGCACAAGAGGACATTTTAATCGACCCCATCAGCTCATGACATATCAAGAAAACAAATGGTAAGAAGGAATGTGGAAGATCTGAATAGAAATTAAATATGATTGAACTTGAGAAGCAAAAAACCCCAAAAACCTCAAAATATTAGCAAATACAAATGAACAATATCTCAAAAGAATCATCCCTCATATCCAAGTAAGTTCATCTTAGTAATGCAAATGGTTCAATAATATTAGGGAATCTCTAATAAAATAGAACATATTAACAGATCAAAGGAGAACTATATAATATCTTAATAGATGCCAAAAAGACATTTGACAAATATCCCACAACCATCCTTGCTTAAAACAAACAAAACTGTAACAGACTAGCAAAATTATGTATAAATGGTATGATTGAAAATTGCACAACTGTTAGAGACAATAAGAGAATTCAGAATAGGGACACCTGGGTGGTTCAGTCGGTTAAGCATCGGCCTTCAGCTCAGGTCATGATCCCAGGATCTGGGATCAAACCCCACATCGGACTCCTTGTTCAGCAGGGAGCCTGCTTCTCCCTCTGCCTGCCGCTGCCCCTGCTTGTGCTCTCTCTCTCTCTCTCTCTCTCTGACAAAAAATAAATAAATAAAATCTTAAAAAAAAAAGAGGGAATTTGGATAATGGCAGGTTCCAAGGTTAATATGCAAAACATCCTTTACATTAAAAAAATACAATTTGTCAGAAAATATAATAGGAACAAATTGCAGTTACAATAAAAAAGATAAAATATTTAGAAAAATATTTTAAAGACATCTAAGGGCTTTTATAAAGATAATATTAAAATTAGAGAGGGAAATTTCTATCCTGTGCTTTTGAATAGAAAGAACTCAATATTATAAAAATGTCAATGCTCCCTTAACCTATTAATTCAATGTGGTGTTTTTTGGTTTTTTTGGTCAGTGTGATTCACTATATTTTTGTTTGTTTGTGAGGTGGGGAACTTGTCCAAAAAATGACATGAAGCTCAAAAAGGCAAAGGAGCCGGGAATGTCCTGGAAAAGAAAAGTAATACGGTGGGGCTAGACCTATCAGATGACAAAACACATTATGAAATTTTATAATTTGTACAGCAATTTGGTACCCAGAGATGAAACAGACAACCCAGTGGACCAGAATAGAAAACCAGATATTTTATCTGTTTTTTTTTTTTAAAGATTTTATTTATTTATTCATGAGAGACAGAGAAGCAGAGGGAGAAGCAGGCTCCCCGCTGAGCAGGGAGCCCGATGCGGGACTCGATCCCAGGACCCTGGGATCATGACCTGAGCCAAAGGCAGACGCTTAACCATCTGAGCCACCCAGGCGCCCCAGATATTTTATCTGTTTAAGGTAACGTTTAAATTAGGAGAAAAAGGTGGCTGAAAAATTAGCTAATTATTTGGGGAAAAAATAAAGTGGGCACACTATTCCATTCCTTAAGTCAAAATAAATTCCAAATGGATAAAGGATTTACATATTAAAAATAGACCATAAATCCCTAGATAAAAGAATAGGTGAATTTATAATAATAAGATAGGGAATGGAACACATAAAACCCAGGATCCCTAAATACTTAAGAAATTTCTTTTTTTTTTTTTTTTAAGATTTTATTCGTTTATTTGACAGAGAGAGAGAGAGAGAGAGAGCAGGAACACAAGCAGGGGGAGTGGGAGAGGGAGAAGCAGGCTTCCCGCCTAGCAGGGAGCCCGATACGGGACTCGATCCCAGGACCCTGGGATCATGACCTGAGCCAAAGGCAGACGCTTAACGACTGAGCCACCCAGGCGCCCCTAAATACTTAAGAAATTTGACTATATAAAAATTTAAAACTTCTGTGTAAAATATACTGTGTAAAATATACTATAAACCAAGGTAGAAAACAAAGCGGGAATGAGTGCATCATGCGTGACAGACAGAAGGGCTCATCTCCTTAATCTTCAAATATTTAGCCCTGTATGAAATATGTAAAGAATATAAACCAGCAGTTTAGAGAGAAATGCAAGTGGCTTAAAAAAGTCTCAACTTCACTCATAACTAGAGAAATGCTAACGAAAACACTAAGGCATCTTCTTTATTTCTCCTATCAGACCAGCAGAGATCAGTACTGGATCAGTTTGATCACACCCGGTGCCAGGGAGAGAGTTGGGAAACAGGCTTGCTTAGATACCCTGGAGAGTGAAATTGGGGCAACTTTTAGGGAGGGCGATTTGGCAATATCTGTCAAAATCCTTTGACCCAGAATTCACTGCTCAGATTTTTAATCCACAAATCTCCATTCAAAAGTCTTCCAGGTTAGACAAACAAGAGTGTTCAAGACCTGTACTTGAAGACAATCCCCTTTCTTGGGTTTTGCTTCCCCAGGCCTTAGCTCAGTGGGGTCCAAGCCCCTTCGCAAATCCAAATCCACTGGATGGCTGGTGGAAGACACGTTGCCGGGGCCCCGTGGCCGGAGTTCTTGACTTAGTGGATCTGGGGAGAACCCAAGAATCTGCATTTCTAACAAGTTCTCCAGTGATGCTGAGGCTGCTGGTCTGGGAGCCACCCCTTTAGTTTATTGTGGGGACTAGGGTGGGTGGAGGGATGGGGGCCTGGAGGGGTGAGTTCCTTTGAGGGGAGGAGGATGAGGCAAGATGGAGATGAGCAGGACTCCTCAACACAGGACTGGGGAGCGGAGGAGGCGAGTGGGCTGGCCAGACAGAGACCTTTGATTGGCCTAAGGAGACAGGACTTTAGTCCCCGTTTCCAGCCTCACTAAAGACTCCTCCCCCACCTCAGCTCGGCTGTTCCTGAGACAGCAGCTATTCTCCGTGAATGCATAGGCTTGGGTAAGGAGCATGTTAGCCGTGAGCAGACAACATGGACTGAAAATCAGAGAGCCAGGCTGCCTGGGACAGGGAAAGGCGCCCCCCGTTCCTCAGACAAGCCTCGGAGGTGGTGGGATTGGGGTGGCATTCTGGAGAGTATCCCAGCTGAGGGAGGTAGAAGTTCTCCAGTGGACTCAGCTGCTTTGATTGGATGTTGAAAAATAACATCTTTTCAAAATATGGTGCTGGGAAAACTGGATATTCCATGCAAAAGGGTGAAGTTAGACTCTGACCTTACACCATATATAAAAACAAACTCTAGGGCGCCTGGGTGGCTCAGTTGGTTAAGTGACTGCCTTCGGCTCAGGTCATGATCCTGGAGTCCCGGAATCGAGTCCCGCATCGGGCTCCCTGCTCAGCAGGGAGGCTGCTTCTCCCTCTGACCCTCTTCCCTCTCGTGCTCTCTATCTCCCATTCTCTCTCTCTCAAATAAATAAATAAAATCTTTTAAAAAAAAATAAAAACAAACTCTAAACGGATCGAAGACCCGAGCACAAGAGCGAAAACTGTAAAACTCGTAGGTGCAAAATAACATGAAGCCCCTTGCACCTAAGAATCACGGGGGAATAAAATTCTTACCATCTCGGAAATCTAAACAGTTGAACCTGACCTGTGAGCCCCAGGAAGGAGGTAGACTGACTTCCTGGTGGAAGGCTGAGACTTGGCATCCCTGCCCCAATCGCTGCACTCTGATTGCCACGCCCTCCCTCCCTGCTCCTTTTAGCAAGGTGAAACTTACATACGGGAAGGTGAACAAATCTGAAGCAGAGAACTTGAATTTTTACCTATGTATGTACCTGTCCAACCACTGCCCAGATCAAGACAGATAACATCTCCAGCATCCCAGAAGGCTCTGTTATTGCTCTTCCCCATTAATACCCCCAAAAGTAATGTTATCTATCTAGTTCCACTGTTTAAACTTCATATAAATAAATGGAATTATTGCTCTTTTGTGCTTGCCTTCTTTTAGTCAATTTAATGTTGTTTTTTTTAAGATTTTATTTATCTATCTATTTATTTATTTATTTATTTATTTATTTGAGAGGGAGAGACTGGGCGAGAGAGCAGGTGCACCTGCACCCACAAGTGGGGGAAGTGTCAGAGAGAGGGGAAGAAGGAGAGGCAGACTCTCCACCAAGCAGGGAGCCCAAAGAGGGGCTCCATCCCAGGGGCTTTCGATCCCAGGACCCTGAGATCAGGACCTGAGTGGAAGGCAGACGCTTAACCGACTGTGCCACCCAGGCGCCCCTAGTCAATATAATGGTTTAAAGATTCACCCTGGGGGTGCCTGGGTGGCTCAGTTGGTTAAGCATCTGCCTTTGGCTCAGGTCATGATCCCAGAATCCTGGGATCGAGCCCCACATCGGGCTCCCTGCTCAGCGGGAAGCCTGCTTCTCCCTCGCCTGCTCACCCTGCTTGTGCTCTCTCTCTCTGTGTCAAATAAATAAATAAAAATCCTTTAATTAAAAAAAAATAATAAAGATTCACCTTGTCCTGGCATGGGCTGAGCATTTGTTCTTTTTCATTGCTGTCTAACATTCTACTGCAAGATAAATCACAATTTGTTTCCATTGGACATCTGGGTTGTTTCCAATTGTAGGTTTTCATGAATAAAGCTGCTATACAATTTTTCTGAGTGTCTTTTGGTGGGCATAAGCACTTTCTTTCCCTGTTGGGAATTCACTGAGAAATAGAATTAGATTATCACAGAGCTTACCTATGTTCAGCCTTACTAGGTACTGCCACATTATTTTCCAAAGTGACTGCATCAATTCACCCACCAAAAATGCATGATAGATCTGGTTAATTCTCAATCCTCCCACATTTGGCATTACTCTTTTTAATTTTAGTTTTTCAGATGGGATCATTCCTTGTTAAGTTTGAAAAATATTTATTTAAAACTAGTAATAATTATTTTATTTACCTAAAATGGGTGGTCCAGGGATGCTGAATGTTTGAGAAATTTTCTGGACTCTTGTAAGTATTCAGAAATTCCCTGAGGATGTGTGGGTGTGTTTCTGCCTATGTATGTGCCATACTCACAGATGGATGCTGCTCCAGACCCCACCCTCCTTGCCTTGGAACAGACCCTTCATTTCCCCATGAACAGGAAGAGCTTAGTTGGGATCCCAGAGGGAGATGTTTCCCATCACCAACAACATCTGGGGAACATCTGGCGAGCCCATCCCAGGACAGGGAGACACTTTGCTGGAGAAAACACATCACTTATTTGATTATTTTTATTCTCCTATATTTTCTCTTATTCTTTCCTTCTCTTCCTGCCCCCAAACCCCATCACCCATTGGGCTCCCTGCTCTAAGCTCCCACTCCAGCCCTTGCCAACTCCCTGCCCTAGTTTCTGTCCCATCTAGATTCCCCAGTACACTGCCCAGCAGAAAGCAAACCTAGGCAGCCTGAGATACTCCCATTAACTCCAGCGCTCAACTCTGCCTAGGCAGCATGAACTTCTAGAAAGTAACTCAAGGAACGTTGAAGCTGGTGGGGTTCTCCAGTCCAATGCCTCCATTTTACAAGTTGGAAGACTGAAGGAGAGAGAGAGAGAGAGAGAGAGAGAGAAGGAGACAACTAGAACTCCACTCCATTGGAGGTCACAGAAACTCCCTTCTCCTGTGGACCTGACCAGAGGATTTGGGGCAGGAAGGAGGCGGCAATGGAAGAAAGGATTCCTTAGAACCAAAAAGGTCTGCAACCAGCAGCTACAGGGAGGACAGGGCTGAATGTCTGAGGAGGTGGTGGTGGGTGGGTGGCCACCTGCCATCATAGCCCTAAGGGCTGAGTCACCTCTAAACAACTGACACCCAGCTCCGGAGACTTTAAACTCCCTCTTGAGCTGTCTTAGCTACACCCATGGCTTCAATGTACCGCTGTATGCTGATGACCCCTCCGTCTCCACTTCCAGCCCTGCACACTTCTAGAGCCCCAGCTCCCTGTGCACATTTACTAGGTATATTTATGTATCCAACAGGTTCTTATTGAGCACAGAGGAGAGTCAGACACAGCCCCTGCCCTCCCACTACTCCCAGACAACACAAGGAGATGCACAAGTAAACCACACAACTGAGTGCAAGGTAGGTGAAGGCTGGAGATGAGCATCTTGGGAAGTCTGAATCAGGATGAGGAGGACACAGACCAAAAACCGATCATTGGCAAACAGGACCGGAGTGGTTGGTTATCAAGAGGTGTGGGTGGGAGTGCAGAGAGAAGGCGGGAAGAAACTTCATGAGTTGTAGAACAGAATACCTCACATGTAAATTAAAACTACATG